TGGTCCTGATGGCTAATTGCTTCCCAGGCCATATGTTTGTGTACTCTGGTTGCTGCAGTCACAGGTGGAAGGATGCTGCTGCACTCATGTCACACTTGTGGGTTCCCTGCAGGCATCTGGTTGGCCTGTGTGTGAAACAAGTGCTGGACAAGACGAACCCTTGGTTCTTCTGAGACAGGGGGAAGGCTGACTATGAAAATACCTGCAGGGTCCAAAATACCTGCAGCATTTGGCATTCTTCAACAGGATACACAAAGCCTCCAAAGGGAGGTGCTAGGACTGTTCTCTCTGGGGTCCATAATACTGCTCATTACTTATACTCCAGGTAGGCCTTGCAGTATTCTGGTTGTTGTTCTTAGATGGAGAGGGAGTAAAAAGACAGTTTTCCTCTCTCCTGCCACACAATGGATTCCAAGGGGCCCTGTCAAAATCAGCATGTTGAATGTGATCCCATCCCATCAGGTTCCTAGCTTGGACGATCAGGGTTGCCTTCTTTAGATCCTTCATCCCGAGGCTTCCATCCATACAGACATTATTGTAAACCATGGCAAGAGGGTTTTTAGTTGAGTCTCCTACCCAAATTAGAGCCTCCTGCCCTTCAGATGATGGGATGGTGTGTTGTTATTTGATGTTTGCTGTTTATGGAGCTCAGTGGGACTCTGGAGGTACCAGGAATGGCCATCAGCCATGAGATGTTTGGCACCTAGGGACTTCTGTTTTATAGATCTGCCTTTTCAGAAACTGGAAAATATGTTTCAGGTCAAGAGAGAAAATCTTTAGGAGCAACTTTGAATTTGATTGGGCAAATTTGTGTAAATGTAGGTGTGGAAGAGGGAAATCCCATACCGCCTAGGAAAGCAAGACTTTCTATCTCCATGAATGCAGCACTGATGTCAGCTTTGGGCTGGATCCAGATTTAGTCCAACCTAAGCAGACCTATTAAAATCAGTGGGACTTAAGTAAGGCATAACTAGCTTAACTCCCCCATTTTTCTAGGCTACTCTAAGAAGGATTAAGGCTGGATCCAGCCCCTATTTATGTTACTATCCTAAAAACCCGTGGACTCCAAGGAACAAGCATTGAAAGAATAATTCCCACCTCACCTCTCCCCAACCCGTACCACCTAGTCCTTCCCTTTCTGAGCCTCCTGTTATCCTTGAGCATATTTGGTTTGTCTTATAACATTTGCTTTTAAGAAAGGCTAGGTATCTCCCACCCAGAGATTTCAGAGAAGGTCAGGATCTTTCAAGTTTCTAGGTAAGGGACAACAAATGCCATGTCTGAATTCTTGCCAGTTTCTCCGTGACTTCTGCCTGCCGCCCTTAAAAATCCCTGGTTGAAATTGTGACACCACAAGAAAGAGTGAAACTTAGAGGCTTCCTTAACCCCTTTTCCTATTTTTACCTTTTCCTTAACATGTTTCCTTAAAGTAAGACTGCCATCACTTTTCCAGTTAAAATGCAAAGTCTTCAGGGTTGTTAAATTCTCTGCATACCACATCAAAGAAATGGAGCCTGTGAAACTGTTTATTGTACATCTTCCCTTTCTGCAAAAATCGTGTTCGATGTGGCTTTTTAAGCCACATGTAAGCTAACATTTTATACATTAGTAATCAAGAGTACTGCAAGTCTGTAACATCTGTGAAGTTTGCACACACTCCTATATCAGCTTAAGGATGCACTTCTGTTTAGATAGCAAAAAGCCCTACAATTCCCAGCACTCCTCTGCCAGCATGGCTAGCTGAGGCATGCTGGGGACTGTAGGACTTTTCTAAGATTGCGCCCTCAGTTGTTTCAATACATCAGCTGTGCTTCATTTCACTTCAAACTGCTGTAAGAAGGAGAGAGATCATCTTAGGAGCCCAGTGTGGTCCCAAAGTATGAATTGCTCGTCCTTGAGTCACAGTGTGGGAGTCACAACACAAATCTCTCAAGGGTTTGTATTGGCCCTGCCTCTGTTGGTTCAAGAATGCACATGATTTCACCCTTCTGTGTGTACAGTGCTCTTGTGACAGTAGCCGTAGGAGGCCGGTGGAAGGGGCTGAGGTGGAGCAGACTGCCTGTGGGCCTCCAGGCTCCACTGAGCACCAATCAGCTCCATCCCACCCAAGTTCTCCGTCAGAAATTGTAGTCCCACTACAACTGGAGCCAGGCCACCAGTGGCCTACCCCTGCTTGTAGGTTGCTGGTAAATGTCCTGCCCGTAATTCTAGAGTGTTGACATTGTCACCATCACCGTTCCCATCATATGCACTTTTCTTGCCTCCAGGACGGCACCCATGGGGGCAGATGCTGAAGCTCCTGGAAGGCCACAATTGGCCCTGGGTCCTCCATGAGAGCCAGTGTGTTGTGGTGGTTACGAGTGCAAGTATGGGACTCGGGCGGCCTGGGTTCTAGTCCCCACTCAGCCATGGAGCCAGCTGGGTCACTTATGCCCAGTCACAGATTCTCTGTCACAGGGTTGTTGCTGTGGGGATAAGACTGAGAGCAGCAGGAGAAAAATGATGTAAGCAGCTCTGAGTACTTGGTAAGAAAAAGGTGGGATATAAATCTAATAAATAAATGAAATCCTGTCCGCATGCAATAGAAAGGGTAAGTCCTCACTCCACCGCACAACTAAGACGGATCACTGCCATATGGCACATAAGTAGGCAGATATTCTGGACCTCAACTCCCAGAAACCCAGCTAGCATGGCCAGTGGTGGGAATTGTACTCCAAAGCACTTGCAGTTCGGCCTTCTGCCCCTGGCCCGCTTCGTGGCTCCCAGCTCTGGCTCCGAGACGGCTCTGTCTTGTCCTGGGCCGCGGCGCTTCACCTGCGCCCGGCCGCTCGCGCTGGCGCCCGCATCCACCAGTGACACGCGCGCCCCTGGAGCTGCGCTGCGCTGCGCTCGCTTCCCGGAACGAAAAGCGGGGCGAGGCGAGGAGAGCAGCGCCGCTCTCGCGGGCCGACAGGAAGAGCTCAGCTCCCCCTAGTTGAGCAGGGGGATTGCTGGAACATGGGAAGGCATCCCCACGTCCTACACCCCCGCCAGGAAAGAAGAACAGGGATCTGGGACAGAATCTCAGCGCGCAGCGGAGCATCAACAGGTAGCTCTTGGCGATCGCCCCCCCGCACATGCCTCTGCGGGCGCTCGCCGGCCTCCCTCCCTTAAGGGGGATCCGTGCAGGGGCGCTGCTGCGTCCGCCCCGGGCCTGCAGCCACAGAGCAGCTCCCTCGCCTGCAACGACTCAGTTGCGGAACCCTGCAGTGGAACTCCCTCACTTCGGCACCCGTCCACCTGCGCTGCACGGGAAGAGTTACCCAGCGACGCCTGCAAAAGGGGCGGCGGCGAGGGGGAGGTCGCAGTAGAGGCACGAGTCCCGTCCCTGTTCACAGGAGCTTCGTCAGTGCTAATCTCAGCGTGCTTCACAGTATCACCGCATCCCAGATTTAAAACCTCTCCGTAGTCCTTCTGTAAATACTCGGCCCCTCTGCAGTAACCTCCTCGCCGCACCCGCGTAGTAATTTCTTTCCCGTCATGCCGTGCTCAGGGGGGTCCTCTCGCTGCGTTTCCCTGGCAGACGCTCGAAACTGCCCGCACAGCCCGCCGGGCAGGTCCAGATGGAGCTGAGTCGGGCCAGTTGGGTTCGCCTTCCTGCGTTTTCGTTTCCCAAAGCAGCATCAAGACGAAGCACTAAACTCCTTATCTGTCATTAAGAGAATCAGATCATTATGCACCTGGTTAAGACTGACAGTTTCCTTAAAAATCAGTCAATATTCAGTTTCAGCGTGACTTCAATATATTCAGACGTTAAAGTCCGGGAAAAGGCGGTGGGGCAGGAAAGGAGGTTCTTACGGCATTTTCTTTTGCGGGAGGAAGGCTCCGGCGGCGCCCGACCTAAGTTCGAGGTGTACTTCGATTCTAGTGGAATCCCATTGATACGGCGGAAGCGTGAATCGGAAGGGCAGGGAGGGGGGATTAGTTTGGCCTGAGAATGCGGTCCAAATGCCTGCACGAGGCTGTTCTGGCAACGAAGCACAAGCAGGGGCCATGTTCCCCCGCCGGCGAGCAAGCCCTCCGCCTCAGCGATGCCCAGCAAGTCCACGGGGCGGGCGTCCACGGGGCACGGGGGCGCGCGCGCCTGCGGGCGTCTTTTCCGTGCCGCCACCTCCGAGCCTCTCCGGGGCTCCTCTCAAACACTTCCGCCCGAGGGTGGCCTGGCCAGGCCTGCAGGGAAGCTCGCAACGAGCGGTGGAAGGCAGGCGCGGTTGTGATGGGAGGGGGCTCAGTTTCTCGGCCCTCCTCCAATACTTTTAACAAACAAGCGATTACAAAAGTGCATAATGTTGAATTTCGAAGGCCTGCAAACCAGAAGAACTGCCCTTCCTGAACTTGATTGGTCTCCCTACGAGCCCAGCAGGGCGAGAGGAGCGGAGAGGAGCGCGAAGAAACGCAGCTCAGCTCCCCTCCAGTGCAGCCAAAGGTTCCCGCCGCCTCGGAACCGCGGCCCAAAATTTAGCTAAAGCATTCCAGCCGCGGGCTTCTTCGGGCCCTTGACACGTACGACCCGAAAGTTTTCCCCCGCCAGGCAGCGCGGGCAGCGGCAGCCACCTCGCTGCGAGCTCCTCTCCCTGGCTCGGCAAAATCCCTTCCCGGGTTCTCGCCAGCGGGACGGCACCCCCCCCCGCCCCCAGCGCGCCGCCGCTTGGCCCCTCCCCGCCCCGCCGCCTCTCCCCGAGCGCCGGGCTCGCCTTCCCGGGCTCCCTTTCCCTCTCCGCTGGCTGCCAGTCCAAGCACGCGTGCGCACAGGGCGCTGCCGGTCCCATCCCAGGCAGCCCTGCTTGTAAGATGAGTGAAGAAGCCGAGATGGAAGCAGGCGGGGGTGGGGGGAAGGGAAAGGAAAGGAAGCGAAAGGAAGCGCAGCTTTGTCATTGAAAATCGCTCACTTTGACAGTCGCCAGCCAGAGCGCCCAGCCTGACTCGATGTCAGGGGCTGCCTACCTGCAAGGTGCGCCAAGATGATGGGCATGAACGCCAAGCAGCCGTTCAGCGTGCACCCTGCCCTGCAGGAAGCCAAGTATTCCAGCCTGCCCTCCGGCTCGGAGGCGATGCGCCGCGTGTGCCTCCCAGCCCCGCAGGTATGTAGATGAAGCATAATTACTGCTTTAAGGCACATTTTTTGACAGGCCCCGGCTTAATGTTTTTTTCATGTCACCAGAACAATCGCGTGTCTCTCTCTCCCCCCACCCCTCCCGCTCTGATCCACATGTCTATTCAAGCAAAGCATCTTCTGCCTTCATATTAATTTTTATGACCTGAGCTTTGAGGAGGAATCTCTGTGCTTGAGAGAGAGAGAGAGAGAGAGAGAGAGAGAGAGCGAGCGAGCGAGAGAGGGAGAGAAAATGTTTTTGAATCCAGGCTTCACAGTATTCCCCACTGACTCCGCTCTGCGCGTTCTTGCTTGCAGCTCCAGGGCAATATATTTGGAAGCTTTGATGAGACTCTGCTGGCCCGGGCTGAAGCTCTGGCGGCTGTGGACCTGGTCTCTCACGGCAAGAGCCATCCTTTCAAGCCAGACGCCACCTACCATACCATGAGCAGCGTCCCCTGCACGTCTACCTCGTCGCCCACCGTGCCCATCTCGGCCCCCGCGCCTCACCACCACCACCACCACCACCACCACCACGCCGTGGCACACCAGAGCCTGGACGGCGACCTGCTGGACCACCTCTCGCCCGCGCTGATGGGCGCCCCCGAGCACGGCGCCGTCATGGCGGCGCAGGTCCACCCGCACGCCCACCCGCACCTGGGCGCCGCCATGGGCCACCTGCACCAAGCCATGGCCAGCATGGGCCACCCGCCGCCGCCGCCGCCGCCGCCGCCCCCGCCGGCCGCCGCCCAGGTCTCGGCGCCGCACAACGGCCTGGCCTGCCTCAGCGACGTCGAGTCGGATCCGCGGGAGCTGGAGGCGTTCGCCGAGCGCTTCAAGCAGCGGCGCATCAAGCTCGGCGTGACCCAGGCCGACGTGGGCGCGGCGCTGGCCAACCTGAAGATCCCCGGCGTGGGCTCGCTCAGCCAGAGCACCATCTGCCGCTTCGAGTCGCTCACGCTGTCGCACAACAACATGATCGCGCTCAAGCCGGTGCTGCAGGCGTGGCTGGAGGAGGCGGAGGCCGCCCACCGCGAGAAGACCGCCAAGCCCGAGCTCTTCAGCGGCGCCGAGCGCAAGCGCAAGCGCACCTCCATCGCCGCGCCCGAGAAGCGCTCGCTGGAAGCCTACTTCGCCATCCAGCCGCGGCCCTCCTCCGAGAAGATCGCCGCCATCGCCGAGAAGCTCGACCTCAAGAAGAACGTGGTGCGCGTCTGGTTCTGCAACCAGCGGCAGAAGCAGAAGCGCATGAAGTACTCGGCCGTGCACTGAGCCCGGTGGGCGCCCGCCACCCCGCCGCCGGCGGCCGGAGCCCGCAGGGACGGACGCTGCCCCGCCGGGCGCAGGCGGGAAGCCACGGGCGGCCCTCGGACGGGGCGGCGCGGCCGCTGGCCTCGCGGCCGCGCGCTGGGTCGCCTCTGCCCGCCCAGCCGCGGCGCGATCCCCCTCCTTCGCCCGCCTCCCGCCGCGCCTCCCCGGGTTGCCGGACGAACCACCAAGCGGCCGGCCGGCCGGCCGACGCGTCGACAAAACCTGCAGAAAAGTGTATTTATGTCCCTTCTCCCGCCCCACCCCCGGTTCATCTTTCTGGGTTACGATTCACTTGATAGTTGTCTTCTTGTGCACTTGAGTGTATATGACGCTTGTCACTTTTGTTGGAAAAAGTTGCAACTCGAGAGGTACGCGTTTCTAAAAAAAAGAAATAAAAGTAAAAGTAATGCAATAAGAATTATAGTAGAAGTAGTCGGGGGAGGGAGATAAATTACCTCTGGGTTTATATCATTAAAAAGAGGGGGGGAGCCCAGGAGAGACTGAATTTATTCAGATTTGTGAATTATATAGAAAAAGAAAAGGCTATTTTCGGAAACTCAGCTGTTCTAGTCTTAGTTCAAGTTTGGGGTAGTTTGCTCTGCTCCATCACCTTTTACTTGCCTGGTCAACTGCACAGTATCTGATACCTATCAGTACGGACTCTGATGATTTCTTCAAGGGAGCGGGGAGAACTCTATTTTTAAATGAGCGAAATAACAACTGGGATGCTTGTCAGGTTGTTCTTATTAATACACACAAGATTATCTCCAGATAAAGTTCTTTATTTTCTTGGAGGGAGAAGAAGAGTAGATCTGAATCAGTGTAGTGGTTTCTGGAGCAAGATGAACCAAGAAGGTAAAACGCCCTGATCCTAGGCAGGTTTATGAGGGGACAACTCATTTATTTCAGTGGGAACCAAACAAGTATTTTAAGATAATCCAGAGCCATTAAATGGACATTTGCCATTGACCTCCATGAGGTGAGGGTTGTGATCCATCGGATGCAACTTCGTCCATCCTGCCCCCATCCCGCACCTTACCCTGGCAGAAAGGATTAACTTCCATGGGTTTTTAGCAAGTCAGGCTTGTACTCTGGCAGCCTGAGCCACAAAACTAATGAAATTGACCGGAATCAGTCTAGCCCGCTTTAAATCCAAGCACTTTCACTTGACTGGGTTCCAGATGAATTTTTTGCACTAGACTTCAAAACTCCATTTAACTTCTGTCCACCCCTACAGACTTGCACCCGTGTTTCTTGTGACACAAGGACATAGGAGAGAAGTTGTTTTTCATATATGTCAGTCCTCTTCTCGCTTGTTTGGTTTGTTTGTTTTTTAAAAAATTAAATCCATCTCTGTACTAAACAAGGGGTCCTTCTTGACAAATATCTGGACTGCATTTGCCCTTTCTGCCCCATTTCCATGCCTACTCATTCCTGATTTTTAAAAATTTTATTCCTATAGTTTTGGCATTTTGTGCACTTCTCTGATCTCTATACTCTCCTTCCCTCCCCACTATCCTCTTTCTTGGAAATGCATCCTGAAACTTCTCAAATAAAATGCTTTATTTTTCAACCAGAATGGATGTTTTCTTCTCTCCCCCAACCCTTGCTACTTGGTTTAGGAAGAAAGTTTTAGACTTAGCTAAAAGTAAAACGAGCACTACATCAAAAATGCACCTGAAAGGGGATAGACATGACTTACTTTCTTCATTTATATTGTCTGCTTCTTTAGTAGATTTAGCAGTCAATCTATTTATTATGATTATTTGCATATTGCTTAATAATATACCTAGATAATACTTAGTTTTGAACCAGATATTCTTCCTTGCAAATTGGATCTCTGTAATGGTAATAACACTAAATTCCCCAAAAGTGTAGTTTTGATCCCATGTATTATTTGCCAGTCCTCTCAAATGTGCACTTTTTAATGAACCATCAACATTTCTAGAATGAGAGAGAGCTTTATAGTACAACACCCCTTTGTTAGTTTTAAACCTTCTTGCAGATAAAGCTTACTAATCATGAAAAAATATCATATTGCAGTTTATTAAAACAACACAGCCTGTCCACAAAGTTTAGCTAGAGCCCTTCTTTATCATCACCACAAGAATGAAACTTCATTCCCCAAAGTTTCATTTTTTTTCTGGAGGAGGAGGAGGAGGAGGAGGAAGAAAAATCATTGGAAATTGTGCTATCTATCAAAGGTTCATTTGGAATTCTGTTTAAAAGAAAAAGAGGGCTTTTGTTTATGAATCCCAGAAGCACCTTAAATGATGAAAAATTAATGATTGAAGCCCAGTGATCTTCTGAATACCTCGCCTTGGCATTTCAATGAATATCCAGCAGTAAAACTCAGACTGGATTCTATTTACTGTTGTTTTTAAGCACCTTATCAAGGCTCCTTTTGTAAGTTCATGAAGAAAGTCATAATAAGAAAGATCACTAATGTTCCTTTAAGTATCCTGGTTTTATACATTTTTCCCCAGCAATGAGTCCCAATGATTTCCCTCCCCCCACAATCAAATGTCCTTTAATAATAAATGCCCTTGTGTCATTACATTATATTGTGGGTTCTGAAATTTTAAAATAAGGTTGATGCAATATTAATTGGGTAACATGGTATAAAAAGGGCAGAAAGCAATTCTGCCTGCATCCTTTCCCTACTCACCACTAGGATTTGGAGAAAAGCTCTTTTAAGGGCTTGGTTTTTCTATAATGCAGGTAAGATTTATTTAATGGCTTTCTCAGACACATTCTTGTTATGTTAACCTGTTGTATTTTATTGTGGATTGGTTTTGTTTATTGGTTTTTATTTAATATACACCATTCCTGTCAAGTACAAAAATATTTTTTGCTGCTTCCAGGTTGTACTCTCACCTCCGATTACATTAAGTTTATCAAATGGAGAATTTACTTGTCTAGTGTGAGAAATTCAGGGAAAAGTTATGAAATTTATCTTAATAGATAGCTGTCTTGTATGAAGATTTGTTTGGGAAGTTTGGAAAAGATGGAACAAATACGAAATCACATTCCATGTAAAGAGAGGCTTGGAAACGTATCCTATTATTCTCTGACTGTCTGTCTCTTGGGCGTGATTTCTGCAACTGAAAACTTTCCCAAATTCTAGCATTAGCAGTAACAGATTTTTGGAACGCTGCTTTAGGATCCTGTTTGGCTGTCCTACGACAGCTTTCTGAATTTCAGCACCAGGACAGCTCCCTTTCCCCCTCTTTTTTCCTCCTTTCCTTTTTCTTTTTGGCAGCACCTTCTACTTCCTTTTCTACTGAATCTTTCTTTTTTGTTCCCGGTTCTTTTGAAAGGGATTGCTTCCTCGATGTCCATTTCAAACGAACGAACGAACGAACAAACCCATCTTTTGCTTTTTGTTTTATTTATAAATAGCTGTTGGATAGTATTTAGAGTCTCCATTCTTTCCTGTACCTCTCAAATAGTCTCACCTTTCATTTAACCTGTTTGGAAAGCAGGGGCAGACAGCAGTTAAATTGAGTTAACAAAAGAAGTAAAGTTGGTAAGTGTTTCACCTTCACTTTTGCCAGATGCACCCTGCAGAGTTAAGTGAGCTAAATATAAATATCGTTCTTCTGGGTGAATCTTTTAGGAAGCAAGATGAGGTGGAAAATACACAGAAATGATCCTGCGGCGGGGGCCGGAGAGGAGAACAAGAATGAAAAATGAGTGAAAAGGCATCTGAGCGGGTCACATTTCTGAGTTTGGTTATGAACAGGGGCACCTATTTATGTTGGCAGACTTGTTTACGAGCGATAGAGGCGTGATGTCCGAGCTTTGCTTGGTCTAAACTCTCGAGGGGTCCCTACTTATTCATTCTGCTGCAAAGGCGATCCAGCGCGTATTGCCCGGACGGTCTCAACAGAAACTTTCTCCCTCCAAACTGCCAGCGATTCTTGCGTTTCTCTTGAGCTAAGCTCCCAACGGCGACGCGGTGTTGGGTTTCCCCTCCCGCCAGCAGCTTCTGGCCTCGTGGGTTGAAGGCAGCGCTCTTCACCTTGCGCTTTACAGTGCCCGAAGGGACCCGAAGCTGTCTACCGACTACGAGGCCACAAGGATTCCCATGTATGGCGCTGAGGGAGACGCGAAATAATCCAAAACATTGTTAAAAATATCTTTTTTGTGATGGCGTCAAATAGCCTAGGCGAGTTTTCTTTCTTGCCGGTGGTTCTCGTCCCGCGCAGTAATAGCACAAACTAATCAAGGGGCAAACAGATCTCGCCGAACGGATCGCGTCTATTCCTCTCTCAGGGAGCAGGCACGGCTTACTGAATATGCTTTCTGTAGGGTGGGGTCCATTTTATCCATATCTTTGCCCTTGCCTAGGGCCTTATTCGTACACTAATTTGCTGATTTCTTGTATTCAATAAGATCAGCTTTCCCTTGTCTAGTTAAGGGTGCGAAGAGTCGGGGGAACTTTGCCCCTCCTCGGATCGGGCTGAGCGATCTCCTTCCCGCGCTGCACGGTGCGCACAAAGTCACTCGCCCCGCACTTTCCCTAACACGTGTGAATGGGTGCGCGTGCGTGCCCGGCCGGCGTCTTCCCCGCGTCTGCTTCCCTCCTCCTCCTCTTCCTCTTCCTGCTCTGCAGATACGGGCAAAGCCGGTCTCCAGCGTAAGGTTCACCACCAGCCCTTCGCCCCCCCCCCCCGCCCGCCCCGCCCCAGGCGCTGCTCAGGCGCTTCCAAGCCGCCCGGCCGTGTAATTGCCTGTATTCCCGCGGGCTGCTTGAACGGGAGTCACACTCGGGGGATCGAATCAATTAGTCATTAGGCGGCTCCATTAGCCCCTTAATATAAACGTCTCGTGTCAGCGTGCTGTATGCGAGAGGATTAAAACAATACAATGATTAGCGGAAGGGCCGGCGGGGGCGGGGCAGGAGGGGGCCGACACGCCGAGCGAGGGCCGCCCTCCCGCCCGCCCGCCGCGGTCGG